TGGCCACATTATTCAGCCTCGTTTGACTCATCGATGATCTAAGCCATGTCTTAAGCCTCCTCAGGGCACTAAAACTCCTCTCAGCCTCTGCAGAAGAGGCAGGGACGACCAACAGAAGCCTTACTAAAGCTTCCACCTGACCGAAGAGACCTCTCACCTCTGGCACCATTTCCCGAATAATGCTAGCATTATCTGAGCTTGTTTCATAGGTGTAATTAGCCCCAAACATGGCCAGCTGCACCTGCAGTAGTCTTGAATTCAATTCAGGATACTCTTCTACCACCTTGTCCATTTCTCCGTGTAGCAGCACATTTTCAAGCTGCTGCAGCTTGTGGAATCCAGCTTGTTCAAACCTCTCTATGAATTGAGTATTCACTGTGTCCAAGGTATTGTAGAATTGGACTCTGTACAAGGACTGGGCATCGGGAGGGACATGGGCTGCAGCCTGACCGGTGTAACGCTTTGTAGGTTTGCGGACATGAGGGATCTGAATTGGTTGTAGGTCCAACTTTGTTGCCACAGCAGTTGCTTTCGAGAACAATACATCAAAATGTTCTCCGTTCGTTTGACCTGCCTGCTTGTTTTGACATGGTCTACAGCCTCCAACATGCCTGAAACGGTCTGTTTCCTAAGCTGCAGGGAGGTGTTCAGGCACTCCAAATCCCCCATCAGATCTTCAGCCATTAAAAGGCCGAGCACAGTGTTCCCTTTAAGAAATGTTCCATGAAGACCATTGGCGTTGGCTGAAGTTTCAGGTGAGCTGCATGAGATGGCAGGGGTACGTACAGTCCACCTGGTGGGACAGAGAGGCTTCAATGAGGTGAAAGTCGAACCATGCTCTGATTTTGCGATATTCTGGAAAATCAACTTGAACTTGCCAGATTGATTAAAGAAGCCCCCCAATTCATGGACCAGACCCATTGCATCTCTTACTAGTGGAGAGGCTCCACGGGCAGCCTGCATAATTAAGTTCACGCAGTGGGGACCACAGTGACAATACAGAGCCAGCGGTTGTTCTTTCCTTGAAATGGCTTGTACTCCCTGCAATCGTCCAGCCATGTTTGCGGCACCATCATAAGTTTGTCCTCGGAGTTGAGACAGAGGAAGCTGTAGGCGCGTCATCACATCACATGCCATCTTGGCTATATTTTTGCCCTGTTGTTTGACACTTGGTAGATTCCCAGGAATTCTTCCTTTGGTTGTAGATCTGCATCTACAGAGCGCACACATATTGATTCCTGCTCAACTCCTGATATATCTTGGATGCCAATGATAATTGCGAACTGGACCACTAGCATTGATGTTATTTCCGACACAATTTCTTTGATGATTGTATTGGCCATCACCTTCAACAGTTCGTTCTGCAATTCCGGACTGGTGAAATCGAGGGGACCTTTTAGCCAGGAGGTCAGCTCTGCATCGCCCGTTGCCTTGTACTTTAGAAGCTGGCTTAAATTCCCACTCTCCTTCTGATCGCCTCGAAAAGCCAGACCTTGCCGCGCCAAGTACCTCACACCCTCAACAATCTTCATCAGATTTCTTCTTGCTTGTTGCTGCCGTCTTTCAAGCTCACGTGAAAGTTGCACATTAACAGGCTCTGGCTCCTGAATACTAGTCATCCAGCTAATTTGTGACACTGGCTGTGTCATGCACACTAAATTTCTCCAGTGCCTTCTTCCAATTGTTAAAACCAGTCTTGACAAACGCTGAAACTGCTTTTGACGCAAGCTTAGACTTTTGTGCTGCAAAGTATTTAGCACAATAGAAACAGAGGACCCCTTTTACAGAGGGGCTGTAATGGAGCCACGTATGATCTTCAAACCACTTCTCCTGAAAGTGGAGTATTCTATTTGATAGGGTTTGACTGGGTATGACTTTGACATTTGGATGATTTGGGCAAAGTCCAAGCTCCTCCCCTTCCGTTCCTGTACCTTCATTTTCGCCTGCCTGGCTGCTCTCTCTCTCATTGTCAAACTCACTCTCCCTGCTTGATGGTATTATCTGAAATACATATGAGGATGATCTCATCTTAAAATAACATTAACATTAGACTGCTATGTTGTCATTATTCTGTCTTAACCATCAATATAGCTCCTTTCTGACTTACCTCCATGTCACCAGAGCACACTCTTCCTGTCTGGTCGCCAGGCTCACATTCTCTCTCTCCCTCTCTCTCTTTACTCTGAACACACCAGAGTGAACATGGAAGAAATATTATCAGTAAACAAGCTGACTGGTAACAATACTCACTTTCTCACTGCTCTTAACTTACTTTTTTTCTTTTCTGAGGCTGCCCAAAAAACTGTCTAATGTCACTGCCACCCTTCCTCTTGCTCATGCTTACAGCTTGACCTCGGCGATCTGCAGTTGCTGATGTGATGAATACGGGTCAGCAGCGCTGGATATAAGATAATTAAACATGTTTATTAGCAATTCTGAGCGTTCTAAACCCAGCAAAAGCTATGATGCACACTGCAAACCTCCTGCGTGTGAGTATCTTTTAAATGCTTCTGACGATTATGAAACTCTATTTCATAATAATTGTAGAGTATTTATTATTTAATTAATTCTGGCACCTTTGGTGTCACACATCACAGTTTTAAATCTTTCCACACCCTACAAAAATTACAAAATAAAAGAGAAATAATCAACATGAATAAATATCTATTGGATCCAAAACGACACCGTCATTTTCCACATAGCTGACACTAGCCCGCCAAACCCTGGCTAACAACTGAAACCAGCTAGCCCACAGCTAGTTAGCTACTATTCCTGAAAAGTTCGGTTTTAACATCAGAACTAAAAGTTACTTACACAAAGAAGCTAAACCGGAGGGTTCATTAACATTACCATTACGAAATAAAATAATATAGATGACTTTAGGGCTAACTAGAAAAGATACCAGAACTCATGGAGGGCAAATTAAAACATGACTGACCTGCTTGGAGCATCAAGCTAACTGAAGGTGGACTCAGACGTGCAACAGCTAAATACACCCCAGGGTATAAAATAAGGAACCAATTTACATATGAAAAGAAATATCATTTTGGTGAAGTTCACAATAACAGAAAATATAGATTTTCAAGTATACAAATATCGAAAATAAGGAAGCCATAGAATAGCAATTTTATTTTAATTAAAAAAGAAAAAAAAGAAAAAAAAGTTTGCTATTTATTGGGGGGGACATTTTGAGTGTATCTGAATATTGGGGGGGATGTGTCAATTAAGTTGGCCAACTGCGAATGTTTCGTCAAGTTGGCGAACATGTTATTTTTATTTACATCGTTTTTGAAAGTGCAGCACGTTACGTATGTTAGTCTTTGTGGCATTGGAAGTGCATTTGCACGGTTCGATCACTTTAGAAAACCGCAACAATCTACTTTTTTGGTCCCAAATTGCTGGTAGTCAACTCCCAAATCACTCCCAGCACTGCTGGTGATAGTGTGTATACTGCACCCTCAATGTTTGGCACGCGCTAAACATAATATGTGAGCTCCAAATAAGGTGTATACTAAATACACATGGATGGGTTTTTGGGGCACACAAATCAGTGTCTTGCATAGATCCAATTTTCCTTGGACAATCCAATTTTCTTCTTCGATCTGTTTGTGTGTGCCAGGATTGTTGGAGCACCCCCACAATGACATCAGACAGATGTTCATCTCAATAATCCTGTGTGCCCATCAGTGTTACTTTGTGTTTACAGTATCACTCCATCGGGGCGAACAAGCGGCTAATCAGCACAACACAAAGCTACTGTCACTCCAAAATCAAATCTTATTATCTCCGGGAAATGTGCATGATGAGCATAACAGCAGCACTTTAGTTTCTGCTAAAACTCAGACTCCATTGAGTTATCGCAAAGTCTTTAAACTAACAATCACTGTATGCAATGTGTGCAGCACCATAGAGTGTTGAAGATGTTGACTTTGGAGTACATTTACAATATGCTATATGACAATTTGCCAAGATGTTTTATTAACATTCACAATACAAATCTATTTTCCTTTTTGGATTATCACTTGTCTTTTATTTTGCTGTGCTCTAATTACAGGACAAAATAATAAACTGAAATGAGTTACCACTCATAATATCTGAACAGTACTGTGCCAATGGCAAGCTCTTCCTTGAGAGATTTCAGTAGACAAGTGTTAATTCCATCACTTTTTAACAGCTTAATTTGGCCAAATTAAATCTTTAAGATAATTGTGGGTATTTCCTCTTCTGTTCAATCTTTATCCACCTTCTCCATCCAAGTCAGTGGGAAATGTATAATTCTGTCTCCTCAAAAGATGATTTAGATTGCTTAAAAGGCTTACTAGACACTGACTCACAATGTTTCCGCACTCACACTCTTAAATCCATTTAATTCAATAATGCACACCCTGCCATTAAGTAAGTTATGTTGTTTCCCACTTTAAATCCACTCAAAATTCATGGGAAAGTATTCATGCTTCATTGCCATGTAACTCTCTTAAGACATACAAATTAATACATATTGCACACACACATCTCTGGCGATACAAAAGCCACACACTTTTTTTCTATAATAACTGCAAGTAGGCTACTCAATATTTAGACTCATTGTGCCTCCCTCAGGAAAAAGAGTGAACTGACAAAGAGCAGTGGGAAAAAATGTCTTAATTCTTACATTTTGTTCTTTTTGTTTTTTATAATACATAATATGACAATTTTTCATTTGTCTTTTGGAATTAAACAAATGTATGCATAAAAACTACGTTATCAACTACAGAAGTTTCAAAATGATATCTATAAGGTTTCAGCTTATTCACCTGTAGTTTTAAATTTTTATAATTTATCCTAATGTACAATTAAATTATTGGCAAATCAAATGGCTGATATGGCATATTTACTGGACTAAAAATAATATAATGCCATGCTGCTGCTCTTACTCCAGTCCAGCAGGTGGCGGTGATACAGACGTGAACCAGCTCACTGTCTGCCAACACAAACAAGCAGAAGAAGAAAATCTAAAACGATTCAGCTTGAGGTTTTTGTATTTTAGCCTGAATGTGCCTCCAAATATGTGACAAATGTGAGGTTCACCAAATGTAGGACACTCTCCTTACTTCAGCTGCAGTTAACTGCAGAGTATGGCAGAATATCAGTTTCTGTTGGACCTGAACATCTCGGCGGAAAAGGACTGTTGCCGTTTCTGCTGCTCTTGTTGTTATTGTAGCTAGCGTTAGCGTTAGCTAATTAGCTAAGCAATAGCTCACAGCAAAACCGATGTTGATTCATTGCTGCGGGGCAGTGAACTGCAAAAACAAGGTAACTCTGGAGCAACTTCCAGACATCAACAAGAGACCTTAGCAACGTTTATGAAACGCCTTTAAGTCATTGTGTAATTGACTTTAGCCAGTGTTTTAGGTGTTGTTACAGTGCAGGATATTCTAACGTTATTTGACAGATTACACGGATAAATTACGGCTGCATGCTTTTGAAGAAAACATGGATTAAAAATGATATTACTAGTTAAGGTCAGCTAACCCCTAACGATGCCAGCAGCTAGTGCTGTCTGCACGTTTTGAGATGGAGCAGCAGATAGCAGCCAGTGACATGGCTCTAATCTTTCCCATCACACCTGTCTGAGTTGTAAAGCCTGTGAAAGAGAAATCATGTCTTGCAAAGCCGCAACCAAGGACAAGAAGTCAAGCTTCAGCAAGAAGCTGTTCCGGCGGGGCTCTGTGCGCTCTGTGGGCAGCTTCATGGGCAGATTCATCCGGACTCTGACCGCCCTATCACACTATGGATCTGAAGTGCAAGCAGAAGATGAGAAAGATGACGGGGGGTTCTCCTCTTTTAAACCTGGGTGTAAGGATGTGCCCATGGAGGATGGGGACCTGGCGGGTTTGCTGTGTGGAGACAGGGTTCCTGGAGTGTCAGGGCTGAAAAACCACGGGAACACCTGCTTCATGAATGCCATCCTGCAGTGTCTCAGCAACACGGAACTCTTCGCTGAGTACCTGGTTCTGGAGCATTACAAAGGCGATGAGCAGGAAGAGGACAAACCAAAGACAAATGGCTTACTTCTTCACAAGAAGGGTCCTCTGGCCAAAGGAGAGGTGACGGAGCAGCTGTCAGGACTCATGCGGGCTCTGTGGACCTTTGAGTACACCCCACAGCATAGCAGGGATTTCAAGGTAAATGCATGACTTTTGCCACTTCTGCAGAAAAAGTACTTTGCCAATACTGCCAGAGTTGGAAGAAGTACTCAGATGTTCTGTTTCAGTAAAAGTAGAACTACCAGAGTGTAGGAATACTGTGTTACAAGTCAAAGTCCTGCATTCAAAATGTTTCTCAAGTAAAAGTACAAAAGTATTGACAAGATTTGAAAGCAAATGTATATTCGAATATTCGACCCCCCCAAAAACGGTTAACCGATCAACCGAAATACATATCCTATACAAATAAATAAAAAATAAATAAATACATGTTCAAATAAGTATAGAAACCAAGTCGAATATGTCAAATGTATTGAACTGGTGATCACAGTTTGAACAGTTGACAGCTATAGGCCTAGCTTTCATGCTTAAAACATAACTAGGTTTTAAAATGAAAGAGGGATCATACATGAACAACATAACGGGTTAGGGTAACGTGACCCTATTACAACAGAGATCAACAACCTATAACAGGGCCTATGCACAGAATGCAGCTATTCAATACTCATTCTTGTTTAAGAATATGAGCATGTCTACTCAGGGTGAGGCGGGTGCGGAGGCGATTCACAATCAGGCCAGCTGTAGAGAAGACCCTCTCAGCTGGAATTTGGGCATAAGATGAGGTTTGAGTCTGCGTGTAGGGAGGGGCAGCAGCCATATAATTGGCTAGAACTAGCTAGATCTGATGGATTTGGACATAAACGTGAGTGAAGTATAACCGGATGCGAGAGAGAGAGATCAGCACCTGCAGCTCTGCCCGCTGTGAGGGACCGGTGAGGGGAGCAAAACACACCTTTAGACCTAACACATGTAGCTATGGCACTGTCGTATACTGTACATTGAATTATTCCAGATAATATGTAATCAACTTAGGAACCCCTCCTAAAAAATTTTTTTTTTACAATACATATATTCATAACTCATATTCTCATATTCGAATACCTGAATAATTTCGAATATTCGATCCATCGTTCCCATCCCTACTAAATATACATAAAGTACCAAAAGTAAAGTACACGCGATGCAGATTGGCCCATTTCAGAATCATATAATATATATTGTCATTATAATCATTGATGTATTAATGTGTTTATCAAGCAATATTAATATAACTAAAGTCTTATTTAAGTGTTGATTCGATATTTTCTTATCATGAATCCATATCTGCAAAGTAAATAAAGTTACTACGTAAATGTGGTGGAGTAAAGGTACAATATTTACCTCTGAATTGTCTAGTGGAGTAGAATTACAAAGTAGCATAACATTGATTTACTCAAGTAAAGTACCTCAGAATTGTACTTAAATACAATACTTGTGTAAATACTTATTGAAACCTCATAACCACCATATTTAAGTTTACTTGATAGTACTTACGTTTTGACCTTGCACACATTGTAATCACCACGCTGTTTGTTACAGAATGCTGTGTCGAAAAATGCCATCCAGTTTAAGGGGAATTCTCAGCACGATGCTCAGGAGTTTCTGCTGTGGCTGCTGGACAGAGTTCACGAGGACCTGAACACAGGGAACCCTAACATCAGGCCTGCTATTAAGGTACGTTTAGAAGACTTGTGGCTTTTTTTTAAACAGGCATAGTTTGGTGTTAAATTGAAAAACAGTGATTTCCTGTGGCACATTCCTCCTTATTTCTGAACCACACAGTCCTTGGGGCCAGGAAGCTGATTATAGTTATTCAAGTTGTTATTGAAAATCTATTTTGCACGATATGTGTTTATATTGTTCTGGTCACACTAATGAGTTGCTTTCACAGTCCTGCTCAGCTAGACCTGCCTGGTCTTGTTTCCTCTGGATTTCCTATAGCTAGTTGATAACAACAGAATACATGAACTGCATTTGAACTAGCTTATGAAGTATTATTTATGACTGACTAGTAATACCTGTTTGTTTTTGCTGCCAGCCACCTATAGAAGAAGACGATCAAAGCTTGGAAGGGCCCTCTCCTCCCCTGTCTGCTGGGTCCTTTGTGCAAGAACTGTTTCAGGCTCAGTACAGGTAGACTTTACACCTAGTAAAACATGTTTTTTCCACCATCGCCACGCTATCTTTCTGCCATATTTAGAGATGACGTTTTGTCCCAACAGATCATCTTTAACTTGCCCACATTGCCAAAAGCAGAGCAATACGTTTGATCCCTTCCTCTGCATCTCCTTACCAATCCCACTGCCCCACACACGGTGAGTTATCCGTCAACATCGCTCAGTTGAGAGGTCTTCACATGTTCATGACTACCTAATACTGGTTTATACAGTAATCCACATTACATAGCTGAAGTAAACATTTCTTTATAAGGTTTTCAAAAAAGACTTCAAAAGGGATCATACCATACAAGTTTACGAGAACCTGAAGCAAATATTAGCACGTGTTGTTCCATAAAAGGAATGTAACTTGGTGAGTTAGGGCTGTATCGGGGGTTGAAGGTGCAGGCGGAGCAGCAAACAGGTTTGGGAGAAGTGTGCACTTTCAAAACAGCAGTTTGTTCATTTTAGATCCCCCCAGCCACAAACTGTTCTCTCTGCAGCATCAGGACTAAAACCACCAGACTAAGGGACAATTTCATCCCACAGACCATAAGACTGTTAAACACCTGAACTTATGAAAGAACATCCATAAACATTCATCTGTCTGCATTAGGGATCGACCGATATGGCTTTTTCAAGACCGATACCGATTATTAGTAATCAAGGAGACAGATAACCGATATTTGGAACCGATATACATTTGCAGTAAAATCAGAAAATCTTGTGGTCAAAATGTAGAATAACACAACTTCTTTGAAATGCCTTTTTATGTTTAATGAACTTTTCAACATCTTAAAACTGGTTTTCCTCTCTTTAACCCTGAGTAAAGTAAATGAAGTAAAAATAAAATAGAAACTACTAAAACTTGTTCTGAACTTCTGATATTTGAGTCTCACTCATTTAGTAGTAGGAAGCAGAGTTGCTGCGAGGCTCCGCTAGCAGCCGTCCCAGCGGGATTTAAACTCACAACCTTCCTATCTTCAGCCCACCTCACTATCCATTCGACCACCACTATTCCATTTACTTGTATATAGACTCTTCTTGCACTATTTCTAATGCATTTGTATTTACTTGCACTATTTGATCTGTTTTATTTGTTCTATGTCCTATATATATGTTGCACTGTTGGAGGAGGCTGTGACTTACGTTTTTCATTGACATATCTACACTGTAGCTAATGTACAAATGACAATAAAGCCTTGAATCTTTAGGGGTGTATTCAGAACAGAAAAAAAAATGGGGAAAATAAGCGAACGTTACGCTTGTCAAACATGGGTTTAAAGCAGAAGAAACCTTGCTACCATAGTACATCATGTAGAATCACCATCTGTTGGCTTCACCTTTCACTTTCTCGGTGAGGCTCACTAAACAAACGCAGGATAGAGTATAATATTTGTGTTGTTTGCCAGGCCCCTGTATGTGACGGTGGTCTACCAGGGGAAGTACTCTCACTGCATGAGGATCGGAGTGGCCGTTCCCCTCAACAGCACGGTGTACCGCCTCCGAGATGCTGTGTCACGTGAGACCAAGATCCCCATGGACCAGGTGCTATTCCTGTCTCTTATCAGCTCCGGGTCTGACACACTGGGAATATATGTTACAGTCACACAATGGAAACTCACTGTTTCGAAAGCCAGCTCTTCCTCTGTTTGTTATAAACCCATCTTTCTTGTGAAGTGATCAATACACTGAGAGAGATATTCTTAAACACTGTTGTCCCTGAGGCTTTGAAACCTGAGTGCTAACATTGATTCAATCTGGCAGAATGAAAATGCTACAGGAGTTCAAGTAAATAAGGGGTAAAGCAAGATAAGGAGGTATTTTCTGATGACTATTTTTGCATAATGGTAAAAAAACACTCATTTTCTTTCTTTCTTCTCTTTCAGTTTGTTCTGACTGAAATGTACTACGACGGTTTTCATCGTTCATTTTGTGATGACGACGATGATCTCGAAATCATTCAGGAGAGTGATTCCATTTTTGCCTTTGAGACACCTGAGACCTTCAAACTGGAAAACATACGCACAAAAAGAGGTAAGTTACACTTCATATTTCTCCCATTATTCAGCTTTTTTTCCACTCTAACTTAGTAGAAAGGAATTTACCGACACTTGCTTTTATGTTTCACAGGAAGTCTTCTGGCAAACCTGAATCATAACAACTTAAAGTATGGGACAGAAATGAGCAGGACTCCGTCGTTCATGCAAGGAGCCTTGACACCTTTAACTGCATCACCCAATAAAAACCTGGGGCCAGAGAAAGTTATCCTTCTGGTGTGCAACAGGGCATGTACCGGGCACCAAGGAAAGAGGTACAATCACAATACTCTATGTTCTCTGATGCTAATATTCGTACGTGTTGTTTTCATGTTCTTCTCAACTATGAAGCTCATAAAACAAATTCAGGGCTGCATGGTATGAGGAGTATATGCAACAAGTCTGTTCAGTATCACAATCAAATATTACTTCTGCTAAAAAGATATTAAAGTATACTTGCTTCTACCTTTCTGCTGCTATCAGTATACCTCTAAAATACAACAAGTTTTGAATAAAAAAATGATATGGTGATAAAAAAACAATACATTTTGCAGCCCTAAAACATGTCCAGTCTTTATTGGTATTTTCCAAGAATGGTAGCGATGGGTAAATGGTGTGTTAGTGTTGTGCAAAGAGGAATTTTTAACAGCAATGCACGTTATTTTGTTTTAGGTTCGGACTGCCTTTTGTACTGTACATGGAGCGCACTGTGACCTGGGATACTCTACAGAAAGAGATCCTGGAGAAAATGCGACATCTTCTGAGGCCGGGGGTATTCATCCAGGTAGGAACAGAAATAACATGTTTGTCTTTATATTGAATGTACTGCAAATGAATTGATGCTTCACACAGTAAGCTGGTGAATATGAAATATCAGCTTCCAAAAAGACTGTTATCAGTGAAATACTGAGACATAACTTTTAGGTATAAACGGAAATCCCTGAAGCTGTCTGATTTACACCTGGTTTAACAAGCCAGATGTATTAGGATTAGAGAAGTGCTGACAGTGGTGTGTGTGTGTGTGTGTGTGTGTGTGTGTGTGTGTGTGTGTGTGTGTGTGTGTGTGTGTGTGTGTGTGTGTAGGTCGGACCTTTCAGTCTCCGGGTGGTTGGTGTTGTCGGCATCACTTACCTCCTTCCTCAAGATGAGCGACCACTGTGTCACCCCACTGTGGAAAGGTCAGTTCTGCTGCTTTATATTTCAACATCTGGTTAATGCCTGAAAAGTTTGAAAATCTGTGATTAGTTTTCCTATTTGTGATTTAGTCGTTAAATGCCTACTAACATAATAATTACTTTCCCAGGCATTCATGCTGTAGAGGTAGATATTTGAATGTTACCAGGCAGACATGCACAGACTTGGCGATGCTGTTTTCTGCCTCTTAAAATTTGAGATCTTTTACTTTTCTCTTTTCATATTAACTGACATAAGACATTTCAAAACATCACCTTTAACTTTGAGGAACTGGGATGGGACTTATTATAAACTTGCTTTTGTGACAAGCCCTAACATGATTTTGACTGTTTGTTAAAATGCCGGTTTAGCATGTTTGACTTTTTACCTACATCAGTTTGCATCAATAAAACAAGTCACAGCTTCTTGCTCAATAGGGGTTCATGAATCAAAGTGAAAAGGTTGCTTCTGGTATTACTGCAATGGATCAATCCCTTCTTTGATGACTACTAGGATTACTCTTTAGATGTTATCATTTG